ATTTAAAACTAGTATATTTGTGATTATTCGTACAACGCTGGGCTTTACATCAGACTGGTTGGTGTTGTTAGTACCTTATTCAATTGTGGTGTTCATATATTAAATATACCAATATAATATCAGGCGTAAATATAATAATATGTATTTTATATTCACAGCTATTGATTGACTGATCCCAATGGTTATTTTACAGGGGACCGTTTTCTATGCATCTGTGTTGAGGCGAAGTCATGCATGTTGAACTGAAGTATGTGAAACCTTACTCAATATTATAATAGCTAGCTATTTCTATTTTCAATTCTAAGGGTCCGTCTACTTGTGGTGTTATTATTTAAACTAGGGGTAGACACGTTAATGGTTAAGGTCAATTTAGTTTCTATGGAGCCGTTACCAACAATCCATTTTAGAAATCTAAACCAGTATATTATAACGTGAATATACATCAGGCTTGTTGATGACAGTCAACAAATTACAACTTCTTCATCAAATATTTCCTGATATTTCCATAGAATACGTTTCACCCACATCTCTAGTGTGTTTTATACCTGCATGTTCTATTTTCAGCAAGGACACCTGTAGTGTGTTTTATACCTGCATGTTCTATTTTCAACCAGGACATCACTAGTGTGTTTTATACTTGAATATTCTATTTTCAACCAGGAAATCTCCAGTGTGTTTTATACCTTAATATTCTATTTTCAATATGGACATCTCCTGTGTGTTTTATACCTGAATATTCTATTTTCAACCAGGACATCTCCAGTGTGATTTATACCCGAATATTCTATTTTCAACCAGGACATCTCCAGTGTGTTTTATACCTGAATATTCTATTTTCAACCTGGACATCTCCAGTGTGATTTATACCTGAATATTCTATTTTCAACCAGGACATCTCCAGTGTGTTTTATACCTGAATATTCTATTTTCAACCAGGACATCTCCAGTGTGTTTTATACCTAAATGATTTATTTTCAGCCAAGACATCTTTATTGTGTTTTATAAGAATAAAATGGCCACAGCTTCAGTGAGTATCTCTTTAGAATGTTCTGTATGTTTTGAAAATTTCATTTCACCAAAGATTTTACCATGTGGACACACTTTCTGTTTGAATTGTGTTAAAAGACTGATCGGTGATAAAACAGAGACATTCCCTTGTCCCACCTGTCAGCAGAAAGTTCAAATTCCAAAGCGTGGTGCTAATGAGTTTACTACCAACTTTCAACTTATATCCAATCATATAACACAAATAAGAGACCAACCTTCCTCAACAACACTACCGAAATGCCCCAACCACCAAAGGAGGGAGGTGGATTATTACTGTAATAATTGTAATGTGGGATTGTGTTTTAAGTGTATATTTAAACAACACAAAGATCATGAAACACTGGATATAGAATGTGATGAAATACGGAATAAAACCATAGAAAAACTTGAAAGTTCACTTTTAATTATCCAAAACAGAATAAAAAACTTGGAGAAATCTCGCTCTACATTATTAGAATCATTTGAACAACTGGAAACGTTGTGTGAAGATTCCTGCGCTAAAGTGACTGAAATAACGGAGCAAATTGTTTCAGATTTGCGAAAGAGTTGGAACAGGTAAAAAGGA